TTGGCCAAACAACCTCCTGGGCTTGATCAGGAACCTAATTCTGTGGGCAACCACAGATAGGCGGAAAAAGGGAATCAAGAAAGGGTAAAAAATGCTCCACTCGGATCCGAAGTTCTATACAGGAAAAGATTGAACCAACATTAAAAATGTATAGCTTCTTTTTGTTGAATTTTCTATCCCAAAGTACTTTTCTGAGGAAAATATAAAAACCTCCACACACATATCAGCTGACAGCTTCACCATTGAAAATGACCCACTCAAGGTCATCTTCAAGTGTAACTAATAACTACGGCAATGTTCAAGACAAACTGTTTAATTCTCTTCCTCAGTTACTCAAATTGCACTGTAAATAATCTGTAAAAGGAGAATTGTCCTGAAAAACTAGCGCAATTTTTTATTTCTTTGAAGTTAAAAACATGACTAAGAGAGGAATCATTCTGACAATACAGCTGAACACAATTATTACTATCTGCAATGTGCATGACACAACATTTAATAGTATGAATCAACATATTAAATTAATATTTAAATACCTTGTATTATACCCAAAGGTACGAAACGAGTCTCATGGATTGCCTACACTTGTTTGCACGTGGGATAAGATCGACCCCTAATTTCTGAAAACTCTTCTTTTAATGTAACTGAAAAAAAGAATTCATTTCATACAAAATCCTGGGATATTTTCCATATTAAAGGTCAGTATTTTATCCAATTGGGACAAAAATTATATTACAAACAATAAGCAAACAGAAGGTATTGGGTAGTTGTCTGGTGAACTCCATTATAACAACTTTCAATTGTTCATACAATTAAAGCCTTTCTTTTTAGGAATAGGAAGATCCTCTGATCTTTATCATCTTCAAACACAATTCTATCTGTTTCCCAATTATTAGAAACTAGTTCAAATGCAAATTTTTGCCAAACAAATATTTAATATAATTACCTAATTATGGGGCATCATTATGCTAGGTATGCCAACACCGTAAGAATTTAAAATGATCATCCTTTGCCCCTATGGAGCTTAGAAGCCAATGAGGGAAGAGAATGTTTCACGTAACATAATTTTTCCCAAATATTGTATGTTTTAAAAACTTTAAACCTTCCAGTGAGTAAGCATAATACAATGAGCAGGTTATTTAGTTTATCTAGATTGTTATTATTCTGCACTGATTTAAATCCTTTCTCTTTCCATTGAGAGATGAATTTTGTGGTCACTACTAGGAATTTAAGAGATATAAATTAGGAATATAATGAGAAAGACAATGTAAGAAACAGATTAGGAACATACGTGGAAAAATAATTTGAAAATTCTCAGTATGTTCTCATTGTCAAACATAGGTAAAATTATTTGTAATTCCTCGTCCTAGTTGTGATGTATATGTGTGTCTGTGCAGACTGAGTTCTATGCATATAAATGCATTTTATACTGTGGCTTTTTATTTAAAACTTGAAAGCCACTTTAAGGGATCAGTATACCATTGCTGTTGTAGGGATAGCTGAAGAGGAAAATACTGGTGGACAGGGGACTCTATAATAGAGGCTACTATAACACTCTAGGAGGAGAATGAGAAACCAAACGAAGGAAAAAGACAAAGAAGATGGAAGAGATTTATTCCAGAGCATTATGAGAAGGAAAAAGTTAATGGACTATTTGATGTGAAAGAGAAGGCACAAGGAAAAAAACCAGGATGAGTCTTAGATTGATTGCTGGATAACTGAGTGAATTGATGATCATCAGCTGAGAGATTACATAAATGTGAGGATCATATTAAGAGGGAAAAATAGTAAAGCTAGGTTTTGAATAGTTGGGTTTGATGCTTTGATGCTTATTCCAGTTGGATACAAGACTGTGGGGTAATTTAGAGAAGAGTTAGCTGAAGGCAGAGCTTAAGGAGTCAGAAGTAAGATTATAATTACAAGAGAAAGTGAAGAGTAAGGAAAACAAATTG